TTATCATATAATTTGTCAAATTTTTAGTGCTTTCTTCAGTAAATTGAAGTACCAAAAATTACATAAACATTCAAGATCTTCTGAATAGCTGTCTTTGTCACCCAAATTCTCTGAACGCCAAACTAAAATTAAATCATACAGGCTTACAGTACAAGGATGTATATAACCAATCTGAATTGTATCAAAGATAACATAATATTTACATATACCACAGTGTGGCCCCTAATTATCTAGCACGTGGTTTTGACTAAAAAATATATCCATATTAAGCACTTTCTGGAAAGGATTTCACTTACATTTCACTTAACAGTGCTGTAACTACCTAAAAGAACACGGCAAATAAACACAGTCTACTAACAAATATATAAAGACTAAAATAAGGCAATACGGCCTTAGCAGAACCAGTAAAAATTACTTCAATGGATTCTGGATTCACTCTGGGATTTCAATTAGGTTTCAACTGAGGAGAAAATTAGTCTTATTCGATCACTTAGACCCTTGTATAATTTGTCCCCAGAAGACCTTGTATTTTATTGATAGAGCTCAAAGATGTTAGTTTTGAAAGTGCAGCAAGAAATAGCCAGTGAAATACGTCACAGAATTGAATGGTATGGGCTCTGTACCCAAGCACAACTATACCTTCTCACAATTATTTTTTTCCTAAGTATCAAAATGTAACCGCATAATTTCAAGGTGTAACTGATACGCCATCAAAAATTACCAGTCTTAATTTAGGAACTGATTCTGTCAGAAAGTCTCAATTTTCTTAAATCCCAAACACTTACACCAGAACTAATAAAAGATAGTTTGGGCAAAAGTTTAAATAATGGATTGTTACTACAAAAAGAAAACTACCAAATTAACAGTTGCTTTAGCTCTGTATCTTTACAGACAAAACATTTTATTCCTTCTGGTTTTAAAGGAATTTGTGACCTTGCACAAAGACACACACTACCACCAGCCCCCAAACAGTATCACTGAATCACTTTTTTTTTTTTTTTGATGTCTCTGATGAAAAACTTGTATCTCAGAAGTAAGGAACTCTTCTGTAAAAAGTACAGTAACAGCCAGCCAACCAAAGGATGAGGCAGGGCTATTCCAGCACAGCCAGTTAATGCATATCCTCAGCTACATAATACAACTCTGGGCTCTGACTACCCATTCAGCAATGTGCAGCTTTGGAGATACCAACACACTTGTCAATCGCTCATTACACGTGTAGGTGGGATAACCCACACCAAGTGACAAGACTAGCACAGACAAGGTATAAATTAGGCTACAAGAACATGCTATATTTAGGATGCTTATCTTTGAAAAATGAAGTTAGGTAGTCACAAGCTTGAGAATGTTTGGGTTATTTAAGCACATCACAGTTAATCTGCTACATAAATAACCTTCACAGAGCTTACTGTGAGGAACAGGTTATTTCAAGCTAGCTTGTTTGCCTGATCAATTCGAAACTTCCTTAACTGGAAAAAACCTGAACTAGAGAACTCTTTTTTCAACTCCATACTAGCTTCCTGAGATAAAACCAGAAAATCACACCAAGCAAAATATATTGGTCTCCCCACCCCCTGACTTTTTCATAGAAACACATCTCCATCCTCAACAGTCTTCTACTGTTTCATTCACACAGTGAACTGTGTACATAGTAAGTATTTATAGGGAGATAATCTGCAAAAAATCTAAAAAAGGCAGAGCTTACTACACAGTTCCTTAAATGTTACAAACATTTCAAGATCACACACATGCATATCTCAAAGTTCTGGGGCCACATACTGAAATTCTGAAATACTTTTACTGAAATTCTTATGCTACTTTAACCAAAAGTCGTGTTTGATAGTCAAATGTTTTAAGATGGGAGAAGGGAAGGAAGTCAAGGAAAGGAGCAAGAGATCTGGCTGGATGAATTAGGAGCTCCTAGTAAATCTGAAACATGAAAGGAAGAGACATGAGCAGGGAAAGGTGGCCCAGAAGGAAGATGGAAAAAGTGCTTGAGGGAGCAGGCAAAGCATCAGGAAAGCCAAAGCCCAGTTGGAGATGAAGAAGAGCTTCAACAGCAAAAGAAAGACTATGAAAAATGCATGGTCACTCCTCAATGGGGACAGGGACTTGGTGACAGAATACACTGAAAAAGTCACAGTATAGCAGAATAGTTAGGGTTGGAAGGAACCTCTGGAGATCATCTAGTCCTAACTCGTTCCTGACTGGAACCATCTTTGGAAAAACAGATGCAAGTCTTGCTCCAGCACAATTTTCTTCCTCATGACATTACTTCTTGAAGAAAAACTAGAATATATTACACAAAGATCAAGTTTGTAGTAGTCTGTCTCCCCAAGTCATTCAGGACCAGACCCAGAAGCTCATCTCCCTTCCAAATTTTACATTAAGATTGAACCATGGGTACCAGATTGGATGTGAGATGCTAAGGGCTGAATGCTCTATCAGGTCTAGACTTCCTTCCTTCTTTTCTTCTTCCCTCCCCACCTGATCACAAAGAATTATCAGAAGCAGCTGTTATACCCCAGTTAAATTCTAGAAAAAAGATTTATAGAAACACCTTAGGAAGATGTGCCAATAATTATCATCATCTCTTCTTACCACCCTATAACCTTTCACAGATCTGTCTTCCTAATCAGGTATTTATACCACACTCCATTACATGCTGAATTTGAACTCACAAGCCAGAACGAGTCAGAAGAACCCAAACTGAATGACTGCATGAAAATTAAAATCTTCAGCCACAAGTAGACTTTGATATCAAACCAACTTCAAGTGAATTTAAAAGAAAAATCAAGATCCATTTAGTATTGTGTTAAATGAAAGAACTTCTGTTTTAAAAAACGTCATGGTACACTGGCCTTTCTCTCATTTTGGCCCCTTCCAATTTTTTATTAACCTAAAGATTAATTACAACACAAATCCCCCAATGGATGATACAGTTCTCAAAGCCCACTCAACTTAGCATGAATGTTTCCAATGGCAACTAGAAATTACTTTAATATACGAAAGAGCTGTTATAGCATAATTATCTGTCTTAGCACACAGACATCTGTCCCAAAATCCAGTATGTAAAATATTTATTTTCCGTTAAATTAACATGGAGCACAGCAAAGAAAGACTGGAGAGGTCAAATGTGCCTCTACTTGATTCCTTTTGCTATGGAGTTTTGGTCTCACAGATGTGAGAGGCTTGTATCAGATCCACTAGATGGTGCAATCCATCTTCTCCATTAAATGCATTTGAAGTTTATACACAAGTAGTTAATTTTTAACGAGGAAAAGGTCAGTCTTAATGCTAATCAAGGAAAGGCTTATTACTGGAAGAACAAGGCACCATACAGAGCGCTGGGTTCAAGAAAGATCTAGGCTTAAAACTCTCATATGTTAGCAGCCAGTATTCCCATTTTCAAGAGAACTACGATTTCACCCAGTTTCAGAGTATATAAATGAGGTTCAACAAAATTTTAATCACATGAAAAAAAAAAGGTAATCAGAACAGCAATCTTTAAATAATTTAAGTAACATTAACAGGGAAGTAATCAACCCTATAGGGTGTTAACAGATTTACTGACCGATACGAATGGCTTTTACAGGCACGGTAGTACTCAAAACAATCTAAGATTAGTCTTGAGTACTTCAGAGATAAAAACAGGATTCACTAAGACTAGAATCCATTCTGATAGCTCCCTTGTTATCCATAACCTTGACCTAAAACTGGTTAGGCTTTTCACTTCTAATTCCCAGTCTTGGTAAGGGATTAAGTCCGGATACAGAAATAGAAAAAATTACTGCCAGGTAAGGAGGTGAACTCGCAGTGACAGGCTACAGCTTTGATATGGATTACAGCCAAATTTTACTTGAACCCTCACCAACTTCCAAATTGTTTGAGGTCTGCTGAATCATTGTAAAAGACTCTACACTGCTTATGACTTTCTTGGTGATTATTTATCATGAAGAATTGTGGGTGCTACTGAAACAAGTTGTGGACAAGAAGGCAGGGTATGGTGTTTCACTGTCCTCTCAGGAAATGGAACAGCTGCAGTGCTTTCTGCTTGGCAGGCTTAGTGAAAATCAGGAGACCTTCAAAAAGTAATTTATTGGTTATCTTCTGACAAGTTTTTCATGGATTTTTACTTTCAGCAGTTCCTCCTTTTTCTCCTCAAACAAGGTGTTCTTTTACAGGGCAATGAAGACTGTTAATTCAAAAAATCATAGAAATGGCCTGGGTTGGAAGGGACCTTAAAGATCATCCAATGCCAATCCTTCTGCAGAGCACAGGGGCACTTTTCACTACACCAGGTTGCTCAGAGCCCCATCCCACCTGGTCTAGAATACTTCCAGGGATGGAGAATTGACATAATTGACATATTCTGCAACAGCTGGAAACATAACTTCTTGCAGTCTAAGAAACAAACAAAAAAACCCTAAGCAAATTCACCAACACTGGTGTTGTATTTTGCAGAGGATAACCCCTAAAATTCAAAGAAAAGGGGGAAATTTTTTCTTCAATGTAACATAAATTGCACACTAATACATTAGAAAATTGATACCAGACTCCACTTTAGGAAAACAGCTCTACCAACTATGGTAAGGAACTACAAAACAATAGCTACTTTGCTAAAATTAATGTAATATTTATTGACCTCTTCCTTGTGGGCATTTTCCTTTAGGAAAATATTTGGAGGAAAAAAAGTTCATGGAAACATGTCTGCCACGATGAAATGTCTAAAATGTCACTGCTTTTTTGACAATATGTGAGCCTAGGACAACAAAAATATTTTGGTTCTGAACCGCACTTAAGAATTTTAAACACTTTCAGAAATACCTATATTGTGCTTAATAAAGCATAGAAAGAAAAGATGGAAAGTTAGTCTAGAAACTTACTGAATTGCATGGAAGTCACTACTGACAGTACATTTAATAGGATCTTTACAGAGAGGTCTTCCATAATACTTTTGCCCGTTATTATTTCGTGTCATGCTTGCATACACCACTGACCTTATGGAGCGCAGGAGCCATTACTGGCACCAAAAATCCATTGTAAATGTAATTCACAAGCTGGGTACGTATCGAGGGATGTGCCACCTAGGAGGGTGAGGGAGAGAAAGACACAGAAGAGTTCCAGTGAGATTTAAAACGAGACAGGGAACAGATAACTATTATCCACTACCAAAACCTTTCCCATTTAATGAAACATTTGTCCTTCTCACCAGAATTTGCTACGATTCAGGTTCTTAAAGACTTTTCCCTCTACAAAGAAGCTGCTTAATTACAGTAAGTCTGCCAGAGTTAGAGACAGGGCTTTTCAATCTTCCTGCATGCTGACAAGGATGAATGGATGGACGGAAAAGTGTGTATGCCCATGTATCAAAGGAAGATTTGAGATTCTAAATTTAGCTCCCACAATCTCATCAAGGTCACTTGAAGGTGGATTTGCCATTAACTTGCCTTCCTACAAGAAGAAAAGTCAGAACAGCTGCTTTCCTATGGTTCAAGAGTAAGTAAACCAAAGCAGTCGCCATCTACAAGGTAAAAATATACTGTTCACATGCCCTTCTCCCAGCCACTGTAAAACAAACAGAAAATCTACCAAAACCCACATTATTCATTCAATAGGATGCTTAGGATCTTTAAAAAAAAAAAAAAAAGTACTGTTATTAAAAGACAAAAATTCACTTTTATAATGAAGCATTCATTATACCTTTGCAATGAAAACATAGTACCAATTCATGTATATAAAAGCAAAATAAAATTACATTCAGAAGCTTTCAAAGTTAATATATTTTGTTTGAAGTTCACATAGAGACTGGAATGTCACAGCCTACTTGTGGCCACAAATACATTCTCCCACTTGCAATTCTCACCAGACTTCCTTTAATTTGGAACCCTTAATTTGGAAAGGGGAAGAAAAAGGGTGGCCTCCTTCTTTGCTGTGATCCAGGGAAAAAGTAGTAAACGTCTTGGCTACACAGTCCCTTTTTAATCTCTGGCCAAAGTCTTTGACTCAGCACAGAGAAAGCCACACCACAAAGACCACTGCATGCACAGAGCAAAAATTCCTGCAGTAAATGACCTTTCAATTCAACTGAAGAAAGACTATACAGACACAATCAACCAGCAGTCAGAAACTGCTCCTTCTGCATGTCAGCTGAAGATCCTCTATGATTTTGAATTTATTTGAACAGTGATTTTAAAATAAATTGTTCCTCTTTAGTTTTTCTCCAGCGCTCTTTCATTTTTAAAATAAAGGTATGAAATACGGTCTCCCAGAAATGCAGATCTGTAGAATAACTCTGGTTAGACACCAAAATTAATATTGTCCCCTATTCGTGCTTAAACATGCCTATTAAAAAATCTTGTATATTGCACTTGAACAATGACAGCTATTATTTTTGCTTGTTCAATGCTTTAGCGGTCAATCAGTTCCTTTATTTCACGTGTGTTGCATTACATATGTTTTATTTAGCAATAAATGTGACTAAACTTTCAATTCTATTCAGCACGTTTCAAGTAACACATAAATCTACAGTTTTTGTAGAATTTATATCATGTTTTAATGAAAAACTGGCCCGGGTTTCTATAGGGTTTTCTAGCCTTAAAAATAATATGTAAAGACAGAAATCTCATTTTAGATTTAAATCAGAAAAAAAATAGTAAGGAAGCAAAGCAAAAAAAAAAAAAAGTTAAAAAGAAATATTAAGCACAGAGTGGTTTCAAAACAGGCCAATCTAAAATGAATTTATATTTTTAGGAAGATACCTAAATACTGCTTGGAAGGCTTTCTTTATGTTGTACTCACCAACAGGCAAAACAGATTATTTTCACTATTTTCCTTTGTATGCTATTATTGAGAGCTTAGACAAACACAGATACAAAAACATTTTCCCACAGGTAAAGGTATTCAATTTACTTTTAGTATCAACAGTGGTATTAAAATGCAATAAATATTTGGGTTTTTTCTTTTAACAGAAAATCCTCCCAATTACATAATGAAATATTAAGCTTTGTAACACCTGTCACTTAAAAACCAAAAATTTATTAATTCATCCTTATAACCAGGACAGACAGCACAAACCATTCATTTTATTATAATTAGCAATTTATTATAGTGTAACTTTAAAAGTCCATACCATTAAAAAAGTAAATTAACTCTATAATTTACAAACTTCTGCAGAAAATATAACCGACTAATACTTCAAAAGAACAGGCCAACTCTGCTCAATTACCTGTATCACAGCATTGCAAAATTCAAGGGAATTCATGAATTGCACAAGGGCTGGTGACAAAAGCCAGTCATCTTTCAGCAGACAGTGCCATTCTTCTCCTTTTTCTTCCAGCTTTGTAGGCAAAGATGAATAGAGGCCACTTAGTCCTGTTGCTAGCACCTGTATTTCAAAAATAGAAGAGGAAATAAGTTAACCATCCATCTGCTTGAATGGCAATGCTACAAATGGTTTCTCCTATTGGTTTTACGAATATAAGAGAGTGTTAAGATTAATCTCATTTCCTTTCAAAAAAGTCCTGGGGCAGAAAGACATGAATATTTTAAAGAGCCTTCTATACAATATTCTTCTTTCAAGATCTGGTATTTAGGAGAAAGTGATGGAGAAAATAAGGTTGCTTTGTCTATTTTTTTATTTTTAATCCTAAATTATAATTTCTTTTTAAATTCTTCTAAAGCCATTTGTCACTTTCCTTCGGTCCCTTTCAGAAACAGCCATCACTGCCACATATTCACAGCTTGTCTTTTGCTGGGGATTCAAATGTTACTGCTTACACATGCCTACAGGAAGTAATTTCACTTGGAAACATGAAACATTAGAAATGGAGGGGTAAAGCGCCCCATGAAGAAAAAGCTGATGTTCAGTGTCACTTAGACCACAGATATATGTTGATTTTCATTCCCAAGCACTTGAACTCAGCTGAATCCCCTTTAAAAAAAAACCAAACAAAACAAAACCAAAAAAAAAAGCCAAAACACCACAACTGTTCATAACTTCCCTTTTTGCTTTCTTATTTATTTGGAAGGGGGAAGAAGAAATAAAAAAGTCTGAAATAAGCTACTGATTAAACATTTTTTCCAGTAACATTAAGGCTTACAGATGATTTATGTAGAATGTATCACTGAAGCGCAAAATCACACTTTTAGTTACAATTTAAAAAGCAGATTTCCAAAAAGTGTTTTTAAGTTTTCCTTAACATATCTAGAAAATGGTAGCTTCAGGTGAGGATTTTAATTATTAAAGTTATTTAAGGCTGGAAACTATCTAAATATTATTACCCTTCTGACATGATTTTATACAACTTCAGAATAATTTTTAAGATGACTCTCATTTTTACGGGAACATTAAAACTCAGCCTAATGGAAATCTTCTTAATTTTCATTCAACAGACTCCTCTAAGAGTTTTTTCTCTTACAAAGGGCTACTTGGCATCTACAGGGCTAGACTGTCAAAGCTGAGATGAAACACAATTCTCTTATCTATTGGAAAACAAAGAGTTGACAATGTGCAGGTCAAAGACCAAGAGCTAACAGAAGGAGATTCAGGTTCTGATTAAACACAAGTGCAAGCAACTGTAATTGTTAACCCATCCAGTCAGACAAAGGCTGTTTTTCTGGATACTTTCCATTCCCAGTTCACATAATTTTTAAGATGCATTTATTCTAGCATATATAATTAAGCCAAACATTAAGGGGGAGGGGAAATACTGTGGATATATTCACTGTTTTAACACAGTGACATATACACAGTTTTATACACATATATAAGCAGATAGATAAATAAAGGACAGGTAAAAGACAATGTTGGAGACACATGAAAAAATTAAAAAGCTAAAGCTATTGAGCAAAGTTTTATTTGTACGACCACATTCTTTTATAACCAGAATCTTTTTTGTTGGTTTGTTGGGCTTTTTTCCCCTCTTTCTCACAGTAGAAGAGCTCAGAAAAAAAGTCATGAAAATCTTCCTTGGGCCATAGAACCACCTATATGTAACCCACACAAACAGCTCCACACACAAACCCAGGCTTCCAACAATGAAAGAATGTGAGATTTGTTTGTGTTACACGCTGTTAATTAATGCACACTTGATTTTCCACTGTCTGCTAAAAATTTAATTGCTATTCATAAACACATACTACCGTCTCAGTAAGCAACATGATTTTCAGAGCAGTGTACTATCCACATTTGTCCTTCATATGGATATTAGTCCCTAAGCATAAGAAACTGACCTTGAACAAAACATACTACTTACTCTCCACTAAAAGGAGCAGCGAACTCACAGTCTGTTGAATTCTTAAGTTTGTCAGACTTACTGAAGTTAGAAGTGTCAGATGTAGCTGCTAAAACCTATAGAGTTTAGAAAACTCTTACTTTTGCTATGAAGTACAGCTCAAATGGCTCTACGAAACTGTTTCTTAAGCACTAAGAGAGAAGCCACTGGAAGCTATTCCATCTCTTTAGATAAAAAATATTTGAAAATGTTCACAGAAATATATGGTGTGAACAGGATTACCATTTGAAATTACCAACAGAACATTCTATAAGCAGACCTATAAAACATTGCTCATATACAGACTACATTACAGTTTTAATCAGTAACAAAACATCAATGAAAAAAACTCTGAGAAGGAAATGAATGAGTCCACATCCTGAAAGGGCAAGATTTGTTTTATTTTTTGTTTTTTGTAAAGTAGTGTCCTTTTCAACTTCTCCCAACATTTGTCATGTCAACCTTACATGCTCATCTACTTTCAGAAGCATCTCCAGCAGTTTCTTTCTTACCATCAACCAGTTTGCTTTTTACTTTCTCTTGACTCACAGAAAACACTGACTGACGACATGATTGGTAATCATAGACAACTTATGTGATTATACTGTGTTGTTAATGCATAATCAACTGCTACCTGGACAATTCCTTCCCTTTAATAATTTCCTTTCCTCTCACATCCATATCTTTCTATCTCTATAGAGTCTCAACTTTTCAAGGACACTGCAGAGCCCTCCCTCCTCCTGCTTTAGTACTTGCTTTCCTAAGCTCTGAAGTATTTACAAATAAAAGTTTTTATGGAGAGACTTTGAGATGTTATCCAGCTCAAAATTTTTAAGAAGCATTGTTTTCTTATTATAATGCTGAACAGATAGTGTCTTCAGTCAGATTCAGAAACTTTCAGGTTGAAACATGATAAAAATTATATGGAGTGACATCAGAAAACTTTATCCAATAGTTTGCCTACACGTTCTGTCTTAAAAACATTTGTTAGTGGTGTACCTTACTGCAGCCTCTCTCCTTTCTCCTTTATAGTTTATTCACCTGCAGTTCTGAATACTATGGAACTACAGACAATCCAGTTTTTAAAAAGCTGCTAACCAAAGTTAAGTCAAAAAACAGTATCAAGAAAGCCCTAAGGTTCACTTTGGCACAGATCTAACACTGATCTGGATATATGAGGCAGCACAGATTTGTGGCCAGACTCCATCACAGGGGATGCCCATACTATGCAATAAGGCACAGTAAAGAAAACCCTATATTGCCAACCTAGCCCTAGAACCAGGGGTAACATCACAGTGCCACCCAAACACGGCTCCTATCAGCACAGGACTGTGGTAACTGTTTGGGAGAGCACCTGAGGCAACAGTTGTACTGATCTGAGTGATATACAGCAATGCCACTGACACGTACAGATTCTTCCACCAGAACAAAATCTGTTCTTCAGCTCATCACAACTCAAATTTGAGAAAGACAGTGAGCTAGTAAGCTCACTATGGCATTACAATAAAGTCTTACTATAGACTTAGGACAGTCTCATTACTGTTCAGAAAAGTCTGATTTTGGCACATTTTGACAAGAAGCTTTCCTAATTGGAGTGATTGTCAATCATGGCTCCCTGATGTTGGAAGCTGGCTTTTAACTTCAGTATAATAAGGTTTTTTTCCTTTTTTTTTGCTTCTTTTTTTTTCATTAATTGGAAGATATAATTTTGGAAGTTATAGCATGAATCCAATAATGGAATCTGGGACAATTTGAGAACCAATATCATATTCTTTAGCAGCATCTATTAAACAAGGTCAATTGGAGTCTCTCATCATGAAAAAAATAAATTGATGCAATATTTACAACTGACCAAAAGAAATAATTTAGAAGTTTTGTTTTGCAACTTGTAGGCCTCCCCTAGCCTATAAACCTGGCTCTGCCTTATGGCTCAAAGCAATCTCAGAACAAGTGGAAACCTATGGCTGGAGCAGCTGTGATCAGGCAGTGATGTTTAAGTCAGGGATTCTAGTCTTCTCTGTTCTACAGCTCCCTGCTTTAGTAGCTATGTGAGGCTCTGGCATTTACTACATTAAAATGCAAGCCATGAAGAAGATAAAAGAATCAGTCCAAAAAACAACACACAAGAGCAACTTTTGTAGAGAATGATTCTAAGGTTTGAACACATCCATTGCAAATCTCAAACTGTGATAAGGCATGAATAAACAGGTGGTGTTATTCCATTCTGCTTTAGCTGTAAAACTGGAGTAGGCCAGCTTTGTTAGTTAAATTAGATTAATTACTTAACAGCAAAGGCTTTCTATTCATGTAGTAAGATTGATTTGCCAGATGTAACAGTGGAACAGTACTATCAAGTTTTGTAACAGAGCAAAACACAGCAAGATGGTTCTTTGCCTGAGACTGCCATAGAAACATCCCATTCCGTGACAACGAGCAAATCTTCCTTTTATCTTGCAAAAAATATTACATTTTTATAACACTCTCGCTATTTTCACACTTGTTTTTCGAACTGTTGAACTGATGTCAGCGTGGCAAGCACGGCCTGCTTAAGCCAGCACTGCCACCAGAAACAACCTCCTCAGAACACCTCACTCCCATTTCTCACACCCTTCAGCCCCAGAGTCATAAAGGGGCCTCACAGTGAGACAGCATAAGTTTCCCTCTGATTGAGTTCTCTTATAACTTTCATCAATTTCCCAATTTAATTCACTGTGTGACTGCAAAAACACTTGTGCCGGCCCAAAAGCACAAGACACTGGTATGGAAACAAGAAGCAAGCCTGCGTTTGGCATTAAGGCTGGTTTGAACAGTGTTATCATTCATGAAGTAGCTGTTAGCAGAAATAAAGGCGTTACAACACATCTTTATCAAAAGAGACAGGAAAGGATGAAGAAACTGCAGGAGAGACAGTTAGCTTAGCACTGAAGACCATGCAAAATAAGAACAACTTACTGGGCAAAAATAGGTGTTTTCCGCTATGTGGTTTGCAACAAGGTTGTTTTCTGCAGACAAAGACATTATGAAAAGCAGCGCATCACGGGCCTGCTGGCCTACTGTTCCTTCTCGATGGATGAAGGGAATCAGCAGGGAAAATATGAGGAAATTGGCAGCTCCTTGGTCCTCACTAGTGTGGAAAAACAGTTCTAAAATGGAGGGATCTTTGGCGATGATTGAGCAGAGCTGGTTCAAGAGGACGACCAACTCTGTTTCCACTGTTGGAGTGGCTGTTCCTGAGCAGGAACTCAGCAACATCATCAAAGGCTTCAAAATGGGCTTGTGATGCAGCAAAGGCTGATGAGACTGGGTTACTAGCATTTCGTACATTTTGAGTTGCTCAATTTTTGTCTCATCCGTGAACTCTCGCCGTAGGCTCCAAAGGAAAAGCTTCTCCATGATGTTTTCTGAGACCACAAACTCCAGAATAGGCCCCATTGAGGCATCCTTTGCTTGCTCCTCAATTAATAAGAAAAGCATGTGCTCCACATAATTCTGAACAGTGCTGGCCTCATCAGGTGAGATTGCCCCATACTTTGCCTGCGTGTTTTTCAAAGGATCATGCTTCTCCAAGATTTTCAGAACCTAAAGAGAAACAAAGGCAGATCAGTTTGAGTGCATTTTGAAAAATATGCACTTATTACTGCAAGGAAAAAAATAATCAAAATTCTTAACAGAAAAATCATAGAACCTTTTCATGCTTTCAAATTGAGAAAGTTTGACAGAAACTAAAAGCTTCACATCTAACATGTACAAGGTCAAAACATAATGCTTTTGTTCACTATTTTTTCTAAGAAGCACCTAAATTTGCCACTTGTCCTATGGCTGAAAGCCAGGGGTTCTCTGAAATAGGGATAAGCTAGGTTTCCTTAGTGTTCAGGAATTGAGTTTCAGTGGTGTTTGAAATAAGTTTCTTTGTCACAGAGGACTGAAATCAAAGGACCTGCTCTTCAGCCAGAGTAACCGTGCTCAGAAGTATCAGTATCATGGGACGATTTGCAGTAGCAAGAGTAGCAGCAGCCCCACAGCACTGCTCTTTCCTTGCCACATCCCATATGATACTGAATGGCCACTGATGCCCACATACTCGTGCAACTTTCAATATAATTTCAGGATTGAGCAATAATTTTCATGCCAGCACTTATACCCCTGGATTAAAGTCTGTTGTGCATGCAAACAATGAAGCTTGTTGTCTGTGAAACAACCATTGTCTTTAGCCTTTTAGTGCAGGACAACTGCCACAAAACCACAAAGGAACAGTGGCTCCCCTAACATGACAACATTGCTAGAGTTAAGTGAGACTGACACTAGGAACATCTCAGAAGCACCACCATTTGTCTGGCTTGCTTCTTGGGATAGCCAAAGGACAACAAAAACAGCAGCACAGAAATCAATTTTACATAAACCATTATTCATGTCACTGCAGCAGATAAGGCCTCAAAGTACGGTGCTCAGAGCAAAACATCTTTGCCTAAAAGCAATTATAATCCTGATGACATGCAAACAATTTTTAGAATATGCTGAAGTGTATAATCTACATCTATCCATAACAAACAACAGCGCATACAGCTTTGCACTATGCACCTAATATACTTCACAAAAGATAGGCAAGCCTTACCCAGCACAAGGAAAGGAAGCACAGAAGTTTGCAGCAGGGTACAAGTCACAGTGAATCAACAGGAAAGCCAGTAAGAAGATCTACGCCTTCAGTAAGATATTACAATGTCCTACCACTTCCATTTAGATGCAAATCTGCAGTTCAAAGTGTGATTAGTAAAGGCTAACCATACCTTGGAAGGTCAATTCCTTTGCATTTTAAAAATGATTCATTGTTATCCACTACATTCTGCATGAAAGACATTTGTTCCTGAGCAATTCAGGTTTATCCCAAAAGAAAGAACGAAGCAAATTCCTATTAATGCAGTTTACTTCAAATCAATAAAACTAATTAACATTACCTGTGCCCAGTGTGTTCTAAACACTATCATGCATGTTTCTGGGTCAACACCCTGCAGGCGGGGAGCCTGCCGATTTTTGCTGATACTGGTTCCAGAGGACATTATAAATTCTCCAAAGGTCAAGTCAACTAGGCCATGCTGAATTCTTCTAAATCCTCCACTGAGCTACAGATGTTCAAGCGTCATGATGAGATTGATATTGTGTCCTGAGCTTTGGTATCCACAGAAATCTGTTAAAAAGAAAACAAAACCAAAAAGAAATGCATATATACCTATGCACATCAAATTATAATGAGTAACAAAAAAGAGCATACTCAGAGAACACTAAAACATTTTTTCTTTTAATTCTGTTTGAGGATAGAATTTTTTAAAGTATGTAATATGGGACCAATCTCAAAGTTCTGCTCATGATAATAGCTTATAAAGCTCAAATTTTTGAGATCAGTGACTGAAATAAGGTGCTACTGAAATAAACAAGTACAACAGAAGCTTATGCAGTAAACATTTTATGCATGTCACTACATTTTTAGTTTGTTATGACACTTTTGCCATCTGACCACATCTCTCTTCAGAGTCGCTTAGTAACTAATGCTGCACAGAATTACACAGGTAAAAAAAAAGTAAAGGTTATTTCTCTATTTTTTTTAAAAAACAGTATTTCCAATAATAGGTATAATTACAAATACTTAGAAGTTTTCTGCCAGAAACCATATCATAAACAGTTGAAAACATCTGTAGAGTACCATATTCACAGAAAAGGGTGCATCTGTATCAATATCAAAGTAAACAAAACCAAACAACATAAAATATAAAACCTTCATGTATCCAAAGCCAAATAAATTGAGATGTCATATTAAAGGACTATGAAAATAGGATCAAACATTAAAACATTCCTTTCATCCATTATTTAATATCCTAGATATCTGAGTATCAAAGTAGTTGCACACCTGCAGGGGAAAGTTAAAATGAAACAAAGACGGGTATCTTCCAGATATTTGAGAGGCTTAAGGGAACATATTATTTCCTCAAGCATCAATATTTAAGCCACACAGTCCCCCGCTTTCCTTCTTACCCTCCATAAGGTTTACATTTTTATTATCCTTTTTGCAAACCAACTAGGCATTTAATTTATTTCAGTTTGGGATCATGGGGGGGGGGGGGGGGGGGGGGGGGAAGGGTGAAGGAGCCCAACAACAAACAGAATTTTTTTGTACCATAAGCTGCCAAAGCCCATACAGCAATTCCTTGCCAGTACAGAAGGGTCTTCCCTGTGCATATCTTAAAAGATGAAAATCTTCTCTCTGCATCGGACATCTCTGCTTGCACAGGAAAAAATACAGCCTGTCTCACAAGTAGCAGCAAGTTTTGCCATTTTCAAAGAGTCCAAAAAACATACAGGGTACAACTTTTAAGATTTCTGAGGCAAGCAAACAGGAAAAAATGGTTATGCATTCCCCTGTGTGTAGGTGTATACACACACACACACACACACACACATATATTCTTATGTTCAAGATTCAGCTGCATGATCAGTGCCTCCCACCGCCCCAACCCTTGCTTCTTTCATTTAAGATGCATTTCTTACACACTTGCTAAGCATTCTCATTAACACAATCTAGTGTTTTTGCAGATAACGCATTCCAGTGTGAGGAAGCCAGCACAACCAGCATAAAAATTGCACAGTTCATCTGTTTGGGTAACATCACTTCCAGAATGAAGCTGGCACTCCATACAAGCTACTCTCCAGATAACAAACCACCTGGAACCAGATGCACTGGGGAGTACTGTGCAAAACCAGTGAGAATTACCTCATGAGAGTCAGACACCAAAGTCTATACCCCTTGTCCTCCTGTTCCACTCACACTTCTCACCTGCCTAACTAACTCTTCCATGCTTACACAGGCCTTACACTTTCAAGCATTCTCCTTCCCAACAGCTTGTTTCATGTGCTCATTTACCTGAAGGCATCTACCTCTATACTGCTACTTCTTAAACAGAAGTTTCATTCTGTAAAAATGAACTGTACTATTTCTACATTACTGATGTTCCCGCATCGGGGGGAAAAAACCAACCAAAGAACAAGCAAACCCCAAAATAATCAGAGATAAAAGTACCAAGTAGATTTGAGAACCCAGCTTCAGAGGCTGAGATCTGGGAGGTTTTATCAACTAAAGCAGGTATCACCATACATTAAATACATAACTTCTGGTGACGTGCTTGCAGCTCTGTGAGTTCAACATTCCTACCAAAAAACACTTGGGAACCAAGATGCACGCTTAGACACCATTTAGAAAAAGCCTGCTCTAAGCAGCTTGCCTAATACCATACCTAGTAATCCAAAGAATATTTAATTGGCATACTCTTCAAATCACATGCCCACTTCCTGCCAATTTCCTCTTTGTTAGCACTCTCCTTCAAACAGAAAAAGTCCAGCAGACTCCTCCAGGCAAAAGTGTCCTTTACTGCACAGTCCTGATTCACCCTTTTAGCAGATCTGTCCCGTGCATGAGGCAAGCAGCTTTGGAAAAACTACTGTGATTGTGTAATTAAAGATGGTATCAGAAGGTGTTGCAAGAGAACTTAATTAACAAAGCAGAGGCAAGCTCAGTTCTGGAATGTATGAGTTGCTTGACTGGGCAACTTAGAGGTTGTTTCAATGTAGCCTCTGAGTGTTGTTTAAGAATTTAAAGAAAAGAAACTGATACTACACATTTAGCTATCACATGGCAAATTCCGTCAGCAGCACAGCAGTATGACACCAAGAATAGAATTGGAAACTGCAGATCAGCTTCCACTATTTCAGTGAGTAAACAACAATAAGGGAGACTATGGCATCCTTCAAGAATTCCGATAAAAATCAAAGATCAGTGATGTAAGACTCTCCAGATGCTTGCAAAGCTCTGGGATGCTACCACACATGGCCAACCCAAAGCTATTCAACCTGTTCCCCTCTTTTTTCCTGTAATCTGTTCTGTGTCCTTATTGGCCTTCACTATTTTCTTTCTTCTTCTTCCTTTTTCTTTTTTCTTTGTGCATCTTTCCTATCCCAGCCTCAGATGCTACTTCTCAAACATCAAGACAGTAGTCATTTCCTCACCATCAGACAGACCCTCCTTTAAATAACCACACCCTATCTTGTAGCTCTCTAAATCAACTTTTCTGTGGTACAGGCTCCATACTGGTGCTTCAGATTCCTGATATGTTGCCTACACTCTGCAGCGATGAGAAGACCTCAAGTGAACAGAAATGGTACATATCTCACCACACATTTAAAATACACCAAGATGCAAAGAGGTCCACTGACAGAGCCACTGTTATGTCTGTGTGTCCAGCAGGAAAGCTCAATTTCCACAACAGTGCTATTTAGTTACTGACGTTTGTGTAAGAATTTATAACTACCACTATGTTACTGAACACCAAAATCCTGCCTCCTCTGTTAACAGTTTACTGCCCAGGAAGATGACTGCTACAGTCTGCGCTTGTAGTACTGACATCTTTTCCTATACAAGGATATCCTAAGTCTAGTCACCATTTATAAAGAACAGATACAGCTCTGGTGAAAGAAGTGTTCAAGGCAAGCAAGTGCCCCCTCGTCTCCTCCGTAACATCCCCTAAGGTCTTATTTATCTAAGATATTTAAGAACTTCTTGCTATTTCTAAGTCCCAATGACACTCAAATAACAACACAGGGAGTTCTCAGATACACAGGGCATTTAGAGCTGCCAGCTGTTTTGATTCAAACTGCATCGTTGTCAGAGTTAGATCAGAACAGCAAGGGCTTTCAGCGCTGCTAACTCCAGAAATGTCTGTGCTACCAGCCACAGAAACTTTTTAGGAAGGTCTCCTCAAGCTGATATTTCATTCGTCCTGTCTGGTCCATTAACTGTATTTGTTATTACAAGCACAAACACTGTCCCATTGCTTGGCACAGATCTTTGGGAGTATGTGACTGACAAACCGTAAAATGGCAAATTCATCTCCAGCATTTATGTACTATAAATAAAACCTCCACCTAACAGTATACTGCACATACGTACAATCACAATGTTAAAGCCACTTACCGCTTTATTAACAAATAATCACAAAAAGATCATTTGTCCCGTGGTGACAAACAGTAACATCTCCAATAGTTCATTCTGAATGTTTACTCCTGCTGCACAAAGTCATCATAAACAGCCTGTACAAAGCACCAAATGTAAGAACAAAAATAGCAAATTTAAATTATTAGCAGAAAACAACTTGCCCGCAGCAAACATTGTTGATGAGGGCCAGGTTCGCTTGCATCTAGCCCAGCTATTGGATCAGAAATCTCAGAGTAGTCAAAGAACACAGACATTAACCCTCACAACCACCAATTCTATGGGTTTTAATCATCTCTAATCTAAAAGTAACAAGACAGCAACAAGCAGACTACAATGTGCAATAATATTTCTAAGTTCAAATAAATTCCCTTAAGGAAGCAAATATTTCCAGTTTCAAAAGTATCTTGGGATGCTGGGATTTCCTCAGTAATACAAAACACTATTAGATTGTGTAGGCTTCAAAGACTCCAAACTCAGTGTTTTGAAAAGCTTTTGACAACTTAAGTGGTCACAAAGTAGATTCTAAAAACAGAGTCCTTATTTAAAAAAGGAAAGTAAATGAATTGGAAGAGATACTATCTTTTAAGATACATACCAATCTAAAGTTACTATGCCCTAGTTAAAGCAGTAGCAGACAGAATATAATAATTGCAAGCAGATTTTGTTACTGGATGAGTAGGTTTTCCTGATCATTTTGCAAGACGCAATGTGCAACAGTAACTGCAACATCACGTTATTCTCTGTGAAGTAAAACTAGCTCCAATCAAACAGGGCAGATAACCTGATGAGTCCAAAGGTGAGAAAATACATTATTTCATAAAACATAGATTCATGGAGGAAAAGGTAGGAGTGAACTTGGGGACTACTAAGAACAATAGTAACCATTTATTTTTATCATTTCATGGTTAACATCTTCCAAAAAATTTAGCCTTTTGTCTCTGCTAAATCCTGATTAAGTTATTAATCTACCCACTGTGAATATACCTCTCATGCAGGCCATTCAAAATTCTACTTCCAAAAGCCACTGCTCAGTTTAATACCTTTACGCTGCCACACAATAACAGAACCTTCTTAAGCAGGTAAACTTTTCGTATCTTATCTATTGGTTGTTTAACTGTATCACAAGGTCAAGTCCACTTACATACGCC